AAGGAGCTAGACATGAGAACAGAACTGAAGCTGTGTATAAAGGATGTTATGCCAGAGGAATTAAAGCAAGTGGACTATGGAACTCGGTGTGCTGAGATTATATTTCCTGATAATAGTTCTCGCCGTTAGTAGTTCTCTCTCCTGAGCCCCTGGGATGTATAATATTAAGGCTGGTTCCTTTAATATTATACAAGAGGTTTCACTACACAAAGAAACCCCGTCTCGAAAAAAAACAACAACAAAAAAATAGGTTTCACTATATAGCTCAGGCTACCCTGGAATTCACTATGTAGCTTAGGCTGGCCTTTAATTTGCAAGCCTCCTGCTGCAGTCTCCTGAACGTTGGGATTACAGGTGTGTGCCACCAGACCTGGTCTTGACCTGGCTCACTCCCTAGGTCAGACGGTAGGAGCTGAACTTACAAATGAAATCTGCATCCCCTGCCCTGACATCCTGCCTTCAATTCATCAGAATACAGCACCTGAACAGAGCCACCAAGTAAGCAGACTGACTCCCATGGCTCAGACTGGCTTTACAAGCACAGTGTAGCCACCAGTGACCCTGAACTTCTGATTATCTCTCTCGTGTGGATGCTGGGGATTGAACTCAAGTCCTCATGCTGCAAAGCCGACACTTGACAGACCCTCCCCAGCGCCGCCACTTACGTTCTTTAGTAGAGTTACCAACGGAGGCAGCAGGTTATACACGATCAGCTGCTGGATGTGGTGTTTTGGTCCAGCGGCCACGTTGCTCATGGCCCAGGCAGCTTCCTTCTGGATAGAGGACTTGGGATGTCTCAGAAGCTGGCCCAGTACCTTCAGCATGCCAGCGTCAATGGCCATCTGGGTCTGCTCTTCTGTCCCCGTGACAATGTTGCCCACAGTGCGGAGAGAAGGGGTCTGGAAGGACCAGGAAAGGTGTCTGAGACTTGGTCACTTTACGGGTGAGTCACATGCTGAGTGCTGGGCCCAGAAATGGCTGGAAGTTTGTGGTGTTTTTGTCGGTCAGCATAGCCACAGCTGCCTTTACATAGTTTCAAGTACTTGCTAGCTCCCCCAAAGCTCTGAGGCAAGGTGGGTAGGTAAGGGACGGACACATCAGATGACGATGCCATACTAGGGCAGAGTACATGCTGGCATGTGCTGTGTAGCTCTGTGTAGTATGGCGCCACACACCTGTAATCCCTGCACATGGGGGCTGGAGTCAGGAGGTCCCAGAGCTCAAGGTCTTTCTTGGCTGTATAATGAATTTAATAAGGCTAGCCTGGACTGCAGGAGACTCTGTTTAAAAGGAAAAAGAAAACACTCTGCTGTCCTGTTTTTGTTTAGGGGTTTTGTGACAGGGTCTCTCATGTAAGTTCAAGTTGTCTCGAATTCATTCTGTAGCCAAGGACACTGAGCTTGTGATCCTGTCTTTTTTTTTTTTTTTTTTTTTTTTGGAGACAAGGTCTCACCCCACACTGGTCTCGAACTCAGTATGGAGCTGAGGATGACCTTGAACTCCCTGATCCTCCTGCCTCTACCCCGAGTGCTGGGATTATAGGTGTGCTCCACCACATCCACAGTACTGGGGATGGAACCCAGGGCTTCCTGAGTGCTGGGTGCTCACTTATCAACTGAGCATCGTCCCTAGCCCTGGCCTTGAACTCACAATCCTTTCTCAGCCTCTGCTAGGATTGCAGGTGTGCACTGCATGTCTACCTTCCTAAACTCTCAACTGGGGAAAATTCCGCTCCGATTGTCGAGTCTATGGTGCCTTCGTATTCATGCTGGCTCCAGGCTTCTGCTGTACATTTAACTGGAGCCAATGAGCACCCAGTATCGCATGGTGACGTGTTCACCAGCCCCTTTAAGTAGCTCGGAGGGTCCCCAGCATGGGTCTGTGATAGAGCATCTCAGGAGAGCGGAATGCAGATGTATTTGGCTTTCTTTGTGCTGTGGTGGCAGCCCCCACTGAAGGCTACCAAGAGGGCTAGGTTTTCCTACGCTGTCAGGCTAACCCGCCATCCCATGAGGGGTGGACTAGTTACTGCAGCATTGTCCAGGTACGACCAGCTGGGCCTCAGCACTTCTATTAAAAGTTCATTTCTTGGGAAGGTGAGATGGCTCATGGGTAGAGGTGTCTGTAGTCTCAGGTCTGATGATCCAAGCTGGCTTCCCCAGGCCCACATGAAGGAGAGAATGGCAATTGTCCTCTGCCCACTGCCCCCCACATGCATCATGGTATATGCTATATCACTCCACACATAATAAATACATAAGTGCTTAAAGTTTTTTTTTTTTTTTTTTTTTTTTTTTTTTGAGACTGGGTCTCTTATGGATCCCAGGCTAGCCTTATAGCTGCGATCTTTCTCCCAAGTGCAGTTACATGCATTCAACACTGGACCTGGCCACTTCTGCCCTGATGTTCTGCAGCCTCCCTGCCCCCAAGTATTATCACCAAACCCACTTTGCATCATCTAGAAAATACTATGGTAATCTCAGCAAAGATGGCTACTAAAGATGTATGTGATACAATTAAAATATAGTGACTGAGAGAGGTCAAGGTAGAATGGAGCCAGACACAGTGGCATGAGCTGGAGTCCCAGCACTGGGGAGGTAGAGGCAGAGAGGATCCAGAGTCTGGAGTCCCAGCACTGGGCAGGTAGAGGTGGAGAGGATCCAGAGTCTGGGGTTCTCAGCTAGAGACTGAGGCCCAGGCCAGCTTGGGATACATAGGACTCTGTATGATGTAAAAAAAAAATGAAAAAAAAAAACAAAACAAAACACAAACACAGGCAGGGAGATCTGTAAGTTTGATGTCAGGTCTACATAATAAAGTCCAGGCCAACCGGGGCTACCCAGTGAGACACTGTCTGTCCATCTCTGTGTGTCTATTTGTCTGTTTCTGTGTTTGTGTGTCTCTGTCCATTGTGTCTGTCCGTCTCTCTGCATGTATGTTTGTCTGCTTCGCTGCATGTGTGTTTATCTGTTTCTCTCTCTCTCTGTGTCTGTGTCTTTCTGTCTTTGCATGTGTATGTCTGTCTGTGTGTCTGTCTCTGGTCTCCCTCTCTCTGGTCTCTCTCTGTCTCTATTGCTGTGTGTGTATATGTGTGTCTGTGTCTCTCTGTCATCATCTATCTCTCACTCATCTATCTATCTCTGTGGATTTCTCTGTCTGTCTGTGTCTCTCTCTGTTTGTCTCTCTCTGTGCCTCTCTCTGTATGTCTCTCTCCCTGTATATGTGTGTCTGTGTGTGTGTCTCTCCCTCTGCGTGTGTGTCTGTGTGTCTTCGTCTCGTCTGTCTCTATATCTCTGTCTCTCTATCTGAGGGGGGCAGAGGGGAGATAGAGAGGGGGAGGGAGGAGATAGAGAGAGGGGGCACCTAATACAGAAGACCTGGGGTGGGAGATGAGAACCTGATACAGAAGACCTGGGGTGGGAGATGAGAACCTGATACAGAAGACCTGGGGTGGGAGATGAGAACCTGATACAGAAGACCTGGGGTGGGAGATGGAGATGAGCACCTAACACGGTGAATCAGACTCATAGGATCTACTCTGTTTTTTGTTTTTTGAGACATGGTGTCACATAGTTCAGGCTAGCCTTGAACTCACTATGCAGCCAAGCATGACCTTGAATTTCTCATCTTCCTGCCTCCATCTCCCCAGTGCCAAGATCATAGGTATGTTCTACCAAGCCTATGGTTCTGGGGATGGAACCAGGGGTTTGTGCAGGCTGAGCAGGCACTCTGAAGCTGTGACACCCACACACTCTAATCTGAAGCCTCTTGCAAAGACGGGCGAGACCCGCAGTGACATTTACCAAGATAATGAGTTCCGAGCTGGTCATGAGCTCTACGAGCCTGGGCAGGACCCCCATGGTCACCACACGATGGATGCGCTCATTGTGGCCCTCGGTGAGGTAGGACAGGGCCCAGCAGGTGTCTGAGAGGATCTCGTTATCATGATGCTGCAGGAGCTGAGAGAGAGTGGGCAGCATCTGCATCACAGCCTGCTCACAGGGGTACGGGTCCTTGTTTCGGCACAGATTAGACAAAGTCCATGTGATGTTCCGAAGAAACGAGATCTGTGACGGGGTACAAAGGAGACAAAATGTAAATGGTGGCGTGCCCTTCCCATCCCTGATCGATACTATTGATTAGCACGGACCAAAGTTTTTGAGCATCAAAATGAACTCATTTCAGGCAGTGATCTGTGTCAGGAGCAAATACAATGAGTTTTATATTTAAATATTTAAATGTCACATGAAGGTTCCTTTGTATTCCTCACAATGCCTTTCCTACTCTACTCAATGGATGACTCAATTATTTTAAGATTTTATTTGTATTTATGTGTATAGCTGAGGGTCTGCGTTTGGGTGTGTGCATGTGTGTACACATGCTCATGGAGGCCAGAAAATGGAATGGGTCCCCTGTCCCCTTGAGCTGGAGTTACAGGCAGTTGCCATCTACCTCACAGGGGTGCTGGGAACTGAACTCAGGTCCTATGTAAGAGCAGCAGGTGCCCTTGACTGCTGAGCCATCTCACTGGTCCCCTAGCCTAATGGTTTGACAGTGTTACAATGGATTTAAGTGCATGTAAGCCTACGTCACGACACACCCGTGGTGGTCAAGAAGGGAACCTCTCTGCTGGGCCGGTGGTGGCGCACGCCTTTAATCCCAGCACTGGGGAGGCAGAGGCAGGCGGATCTCTGTTAGTTCGAGGCCAGCCTGGTCTATAGAGCAAGATCCAGGAAAGGCGCAAAACTACACAGAGAAACCCTGTCTCAAAAAACAAAACAAAAGAAGAAGAAGAGGAGGAGGAGGAGGAGAAGGAGGAGGAGGAGGAGGAGGAGGAGGAGGAGGAGGAAAACCTCACCTTCCATTTCCCCTTGTTTGAGACAGGGTCTCTGTGGTTCACTCTTTGGGTTTGTGTACACCAGGCTTGCTAGCCCACCAACTTCCAGGGCTTCTCCCGTTTCCACCTCCCACTTCACTGTCTGAGTACTGGGATTACAGGCATGTGCAAGTGAACCTGGTGTTATGTGGGGGCTCAGGATTTGAACTCAGGTCCTTACACTTGCACTGCCGAGCCATCTCTCCAGCTCCGTTTCTAGTCCTTTTAACTTTTTATTTTCAGACATGGTGCTGCTAAATTGCCCAAGCAGCCCTTGATCTTGAGATTTTCCTGCCTCAGCCTCCCAAACAACAGGGATGACAGACCTGCTCTGTTACCTCCAGCCACACCCATCTCCCTTCCCTTTTTTTTTTTTTTCTTTGTTTCTTTTGAGACAAGGTTTCACCACAGAGCTCAGGCAGCTTCCGAACATCTTTAAATTACATTTGTGTTTGTGAGTGAGCGTGCTTGCGCCGTGCTGTCCTGTGGGAGTCCGTTCTCCCCTTCCACCACGCGGGTTCTGAGGGTTGAATTCAGGTCCTCGGCCTTGGTGGCAAGCACCTTCACCCACCCAGCATTTTGTCAGCCCCGGCCTCAAACTCCTGACAGCCCCTCCGTCCTTAGCCTCCTGAGTGAGCCCCCATGCTCAGCCACATTTTTGATCTTGTTAAGAATATTCTTCAGCTCTGCCTCTGGGTCTCATCACTTTCTCTCCCGAATATTCTAACCCCGAGACCCCCATGACCAGTGTGGAAACAGAACCCAAGACCATCAATCCCTCAGCATCCAATCTTCCCTTGACCACTCCAGCCACTCCCCCACTCCCCTTTGTCAGAGCGGATGAGGCAGGGCCTCCCTCTGCAGCCCAGGCTGACCTTGAACTTGCAATCCTTCTGCCGCAGCTTCTTGAGGGCCTGAGATCACCTGTGTAGCATGGTCAGCTTCCTACCTGATGTCCAACATTTGAGGCCCAAGGGCCCGATCCCAGGCCTTCTTCCCACTCCAGGCCAGGGGTTGGCAATGTTTTCCATGAAGAGTCATACAATGACAGTTTTTAGCCTCTTGTCTCACATGGTTCTTTTGAGAGTATTCAAATGTGTCCTCTTGGGCTGGACATGTGACTTAGTTGGTAGAGTGCTTACCTAGCGCGCATGAAGCCCTGGATCCCATCCTCAGTACCACATAAACCAGGTATGGTGGTGTACACCTGTAACCCTACCACTAGTAAGATGAGATAGGGACAGGGAGATCAGAAGTTCAAGGTCGTCCTTGACTACATAGTGAGTTTGAGGCCTGACATGAATATGTGAGACTCTGTCTCAAAAGAAACAAAAATCAAGATGCTGCAAGACAGCTCAGCAGGTAAAGACACTTGTTACCAGGTGGGGCAGTCTGAGTTCAATCCCTTGGTCCCCACAGTGGAAGGAGAAAAATTGTACCCTACAAGTGCACACATGTATGTACACACACACACACACACACACACACACACACACACACACACACACACACACACACAAATAAATAAACAAACAAATAAATAAATGAAATGCAAGCAAGTAAATGAATGAATGAATAAATAAATAAATACACTCACTGGTATGTTTGTCGAAGTAAGATTGATCAGTCTCGGGACGGCATTGTTGGAAATTATATCGTCTCTGAATTCTGGGCCATCACCTACAAATGGAAGAGAGCATGAGATGAAAGATCTGGGCATACACCTTCGAGCCCAGCACTCAAGAAGCTGAGACAGGTTGATCTCTGTAAGTTCAAGGCCAGCCCAGTCTACATACAAGCTGAGTACAAGCCAGCCTGGGCTACATTTCAATCTACTCTCCCCAAAGAGTGGACAAGGAGAAACCCAAATTGGGTATCTAACTTTTAAAGTTTATACTTAATGGGGCTGCAGAGATGGCTCAGTGGTGAACGGCACATATTGTTCTCATCATGTATCTGAGTTCGGTTCCCAACACCTCTGGCAAGCAGCTCACAACTGCCTATATCCAGTGAGATCTCTCTTCGGGCCTCAGTGGGCACCTGTATTCACATGCACACACCAATACACAGACACATATATACATATAAGAAAACCTTTTTAAAAATGTATGCCTAAGCCGGGCGGTGGTGGCGCACGCCTTTAATCCCAGCACTCGGGAGGCAGAGGCAGGCGGATCTCTGTGAGTTCGAGGCCAGCCTGGGCTAC